TAATATTCTTTTATGGTGTAAAAATCGACATTTATTACTGAAAGGAACACTGCCTAACTTGGACCTGTGTTGGTGGCTGTTGTGTTTTAGAGATTGAGAGTGAGAGGAAAAGCTGACAGCATCAACTCAGGCTATACCTACTTATACTTTATTCTAACTGAATGCACATAATGCTGCTCATATTTAGGGCCCCAACTAGTCATAAGTTGCTATGGTTTGGACGTTTTTGGACATGATGTTGTGAGGGGTTATGGTGCCGTTCATGTACCAACTTCACCAGGAAGGTAAAATTTCTGAAATATCATTTGAAATCATAAAGAATTGAAACATTTACTAGTATTTATGATGTAATAGCCACACAAGAGAAGTTTCAATGTTTGTACCAGAATCATCGTCAAAGTTACAAAAATTTACCAGGTAACATCACTTGGGATTCGTGTGCTTTTTGTAATACACACACTTACATGTGATAAATTGTGATGTTTCAGTTGGTTTTTGGGAAGGAGACCTGAATTTGTTGATCCTAAAGTTATAACTACAGGAGAAGGACGTGAAGGTAGAATTATAATCACGGCATCCATTCCTATAGTGATACTCAATATTTATCAACAAACTTATTCTTATTTGCCAACCATGATCAGAATGGCTTTTTTGCTTTGTCCTGACAGCCAATCGTCTTCTGGTTGGCACATGAATAACATATCAGGCTTACATCACATTGAGTATTGCTATAGTGGACTTAGCATTCTCCAGATTCTGGTTGAGGCAACATGCAATACATTGACAACACTTTTCATCCACAAAGAATGTATATAGTTTGTGAGAAATTGTCTTTATGAGAAATATGGTTGCCATATTGATACAGGTATGCCTCCTCAACCAGTCACTTTACTTATTCATGCTGCTTAAAATATTATCAAATAGCTGACTTTACATATTTTGGTTCAGTGACCATGCACAAAAGAATTGCAGAGTAGGCTCCGGGGAAATAAAAAAATAAATCAAGCTATCCATTGTTTTTCCAGAGCCTTGTGTGCGTTCTTTTGTACATAGTCATCAAATTAAAATATCTAAAGCTATTCATAGCAGTCAACACAACATAAATTTGTAGCCATTTACAGGTGATCTGTATAAGGTTCAAAACAGCTCAAATAGTGGTCCATACTGTATGTTTTATCTATTTCTAATCATTCTTCTCATTATTAACCCACTAGTAACAAGAGTCAGATCCCAAGGAACTGTCAAAGTCACTTTCAATGTTATCACCAGAGATATGAAGAAACTAGGTTATGACACAGAGGCTGCTAGTGTATCTATTCCACACATGGGAGGATCTGGTGGCAACAACACCATTAGACCAGAAGCAGCAACAGAAAGTCATTCATGATTTTTAACCATTCTTATTTATGGATATATGGAATGTAAATAATTGTATAGCTAAAGTATTTATAGAAATAAAGAAAATGCACTCAGCCCATGAAATATTATCTGTGCATCTCTATACACCCTTTTAATAAGTCTCAAGGTATTGTGTTCTCCGCACTTGACGTCAAATTTATTCTTTTGAATTCCTTTTGTATTGTAAAAATTTCAAAAGAATAAATTTGACGTCAAGTGCGGAGAACACAATACCTTGGGACTTATTAAAAGGGTGTATAGACTAGTTCTAGGTCAAGATTTGATTGTCAATTTTCTTGGGCTTCCTGTGTTTTGACTTAGATTTTCAGTTAATTGCATCACAAGTCATATAGCCTCCTTTGAAACACGTGACGGCACAGGGGCGGCTTCTAAAGGAGGCTGCACAATTCACCAACCAGCATTTCTTTGAGCTCTTCTTAATTTGAAAATCAAAATAAATCATAATAAAAGCTCACACTTTACCATCCCTTTATGATCTTAGAATGGAGATATAAGATTCCAAATTCAAACCAACAGATGGAACAAATTATGACGGCATATATGAAGTCACCTCTTTCTAAATGAGGAAAACATAAACACAAGAAGTATGTATGTTTACACAAAGTAAACTAGTACTGTGAAATCTTTTTTGAAAGCACAAAGAAAACGTTTTCCAAAATCTTCACATGTTTATTCAAATTTAATCATTCAATAACCAAGGCTTACAATGCAAACCACAATTTGGGATAACTATTTTATATACAAGTTAAATCTTTTAATTTAGTCCCAAACTCTACTTCCTACATGTCTATTTGCAAGCTCACAATGCATACATGACAAGTGTTTGTTTGTTTGAATGAACAACGCAACAATTCTCTTTAAGGAGGAAGGGACAATGCCGTCACAAAATGTTATGTGCCTTGAGTGAGGGAGCTGCTATTGTGAATTCCTTTCAGTACAAATGTGTGTAGAATAATCACTGTGATTATAGTCAAAACAACTCTATTTTCCACTTGCTCTTTGTATTAGTTCATCGCAGATAGCAGTGAGTTCTTTATTTTCGTTTATCTACAAAGAAAAGAAAAGTAAGAAGTTGTTATTGTGTAATGAGGGATTTTYCACTGCCCCAAAGAGATCCCCGGAGAAGTGTGAGGGATAGTTGTAGTAATATGCATTAGCTTGGCTCTGTATGCTTTCACAAATGCTGAAAATCAATCCTGTGTAGCCTATTTACTCTGTAAGAACAATGAATATATATACCTTTTGTTGTACAGCTTGTTCTAGACTTGCACTTTTATTYTGTTCTTTTTTAAGGGCTGCTCTCATGACAGCCATTTCGGAATCATTCGATCTGCGCACTCTATTTATTTCTATATTTGCTCTGAAACATGAAATGAATAGAAAAATAAGATAATACTTTAACAACTTAGSTCATTTTCAGTTGGGTACTCGGCTAACACATAGTTTTGTGCTGTGCGCGTATTTAAAGAATTACGTTTTCTTTACGTTTGCACGGAGGTTATACAATCAATAATTCAAGTCCTTTGCGCGCGCGACAATACACATAATCACTGCGTCATAAATGCGTAATTGTGCGCGCGTAAAACYCATTGYATGTTACGTAACAATCACATCTTTTACAGTTYTACAACGACCGATGCGCCGTTTTTGCGAAAGGAATTTCGTGCATGTTATACAATGCTTGGAAACGTTAGATTCTTCCGCAATGGTAAGTAGAAGTTAAACCATTCGCAGATGAAWATACGGTCTTCGTTTCACCGATTTTATGCTGGAAGCGATCGATATTTTGCGATTTCTTTCTGACTTACGTTTCTATTTTTTCTTCCGCGTGTTTTTTAAGCATTTGGTATTTTTCGCTGGATTTCCGTAGCTTCTCTTGGTAGTCCTGAGCTGCTTTTTTAAGAATCTCTTCGTTCTGAATACAAAAAAAAAACAGGTTAGAAAAAAGGAGGAAAGAAAACGACTAAACAAATGCATGAAAAAACTAGAACTAATTTCACAAAGTCAAAGAGAAAATTTCCTTACTTTCTTAAAGTTTTCCAAAGCTCCTTTCATCTTCTCRTAACGTCGATGTAGATCGGAAAACGCTGCTTCTACAGAATTGAGATCTGCTTGTAACTGAAAGAATGGCAAAACGGGAAAATACACATATGAGAACGAGAAGAGATAAACTTGGAATGTCATGTGTGCAAATGTTTAAAGTTCGATCGGTTTTGAAGCATGACCCTCGAAATCTGTTCAGTGAAGGCTCAGAGTGTTGATGGTGGTTTTCGTTCGACAGTGGAGTTTACAGAGAAACGAAAATTGTAGTCAAACATGGTRTACCTGATCTCTTTCTTTTACTATTTCATTTTTGGACTCGTCTGCCATATTTTTATCCTTTTCGGTCGACTCTGCAATGAAAAAACACSGTATTTCACAAAGGAACTTTATGTTATTGAGCTTCAAGTATAGTAAATCACTGAAGAAAACCTTCCACTTTTTTCTCTATATGGGTTTCCATATAGTGAAAAAAGGAAGCCCGAGTAAGTGCGGAGGAGGGTAGTTTTCCCCTTACTTAGGGCCAACATCAAGCCGGAAGTATCCTATATAAATATACGATTTAGGTTCTTCATTGTCATAAACAAAACACTTGTTACTTTAGATGCAGGAAGATCATCARAAAGTGAAAAGCCATTCTACAGTATCTCAAAAATCATTTTAAAAGACTGAMTGCCTCCTTTATCAAACTTTCACGACCACAATTCTTTTAGAGTATATTTTCGTCATCAAGTTCATTATGTTTTGAACACAGACAATAATAACAAAAACTGGACTGAGAAATATGATCAAAGTACTCTTTTTTTATTTTGCTATAATCAAAACAACCAAATTAAATTGTGACAACTGAACACAAATACAAAATGTCATCATCGAGAAAGGCACTTTATAGACCGAATTCAAGATTTGCCTTCCATCGGATGAATGCGAGTGCTCTTGAGTTGAGTACAATAATAAGTATAATAGTATTTTTGCTGTTTTAAGAGCAATTCTCTTGTCTTACCGATCATCTCTGCCATTGTTTTTTCATATTCTTTCATTACAGTCCTAAGAAGAGAAAAGAGTTTTAATAAGAAGGATTTCTTAATGGCACTTCTCTTCCGATCGAAGTCGGTATAGAGGGGCACGATAGGAAATACTTACTTGAGTTTATCGTTCTCTTGTGGTCGAGGTCGGTAAATAGGGGTTCGATAGGTATTAGTTGAGTTCAACGTTCTCTTCCGATCGCGGTCGGTATATAGGGGTACAATATGTATTACTTACTTGAGTTCAACGTTCTCTTCCGATCGCGGTCGGTATATAGGGGTTCGATATGCATTACTTACTTGAGTTCATCGTTCTCTCGCTTCAGTTTCGAGTTATTTTCAACTTCTGTTTGAAGTTTGCTAAGGATATCTTGGATCTCCATGTCTCGTACCTGAGACTCTTCGTGAGTCTAAACAGAATAACAGATAATAATTATTAATTAATTAGTTAATTAATTGTTAAAAAAAATGACTTGGTGGTCGCGACTCAGTGGGGATACAAGCTGAGCGTCCAACCGCATAAAATACAATAACAATGTTTTTRGCGTAATAATAATGCCAGAAATGTGTTGACTAGCGCTATACCACTGTAGTCATGTGATCTGTGTCGGTGTCTCTAACGAAACAGCTGTGATAAAAAATGGTAAATTTTACACCCGTAAGATGGCAAAAAAACAAAACACTAAAGACCGAAACGTTTCAAAAATTTCTTGATTGGTTTCTGAAAGCAACAATGAGACGATGGTGATAATAATGGTTATGATTATGATGACTGGAAGCGCCAGAGCTAGTTTAAAAATCCTGACGCTAATAATGATAAAAGAACGACTGGGAAGGAGACCAGACAAATGGTGCTGAGATCAYGATAACATGATGATACGATCAAGAGTTAATCATCGCGAGAAAATCCTCAAACCCTAATGCAAGTTTAAAAGAATCGATTGYGCGATGCAAAGGTCTTTGTGGTAAAACCATAACTGGCACATTTTTAAATTTCTACTTGTGGGTTTTTTATAGCAAATTAAAGCTCAATTGAAAGTCTATACCTGTTTTAGGAGAGCCTCACGCTCCTTCTTGACGGCGGTTTCTATATCACTTTTACTGTAGAGAAGAGGCTAAAAAAGAACAAACAAATGTATCAATAATTGCTAGCACTGAAATAGCTTCCCCGACATTTGAATGGTTTCTTCACCAATGAGAGGATATTTCGATAACGTTTATATCCAGCATATGATGAAATTATCAATTATTGCTAGCACTGAAATGGCTTCCCCGACATTTGAATGGTTTCTTCATCAATGAGAGGATATTTCGATAACGTTTACATGCAGCATATGAAATGTATCAATTATTGGTAGCACTGAAAAGGCTTCCCGACATTTGAGTGGGTTCTTCACGAATAAGCAGAGGGTTCTCGATAACGTTTGCCAGTTTGCATCACACTGTGAATTGTAACAATTGTTATTTGTACCAAAATGTCCTTCTTCGCAGTTGAATGGGTTGTGCATAACATAAATCGATTGATAGACACAAATAACTTGTCATTTTATGAGAGAAGGGGCGAAACGTTGAGAGTGAGAATCGATTATCCGAGATTGGCATTGAAAAGGTTTCCTATCAGAACAGAACACTTAAATGGCTTCTTTATTGATAACATAAATTGATACATTTACAGAATAGGAGCTCTATTAACATTCGATCCAATGGTTTTTAAACAAGATTTTAATCAAGGGAGGAAGTAAATTATACTTCGCAATTATAACTGAACACCCTGAAAGTATTGAAAAATATGGAATTAAACCCAAAAACAGAAACTCTGCCTATACCAGATTTATAAGTGCTGAGTAGATGACTGACAGTACGAAAAGTGAGAAGAGATCATTGATTTTTTTTTACATGGATTAAATCTCAAGCTTAAAGACAAAACACCATAATCGCTATCATATCTTCAAATACGAATCTCATTGCCAATTGGTCAAATTTATGACTTCCCCTCCCACGTAAAAATTAATAAAACTGACGAAATTCACAAACCAATGTACAAGGTGAAAAGAAATGCAAATATACACAAACCATGTGAGCCAATACTAGCTTCAGGACAGGCAGACGTTGTGTCTACGATCAAGAAGTTGAAAAATAACGGAACTCATTACTTGAAGGAAAGTTTAAGACTCTCATGTCCTTCATTCTCAATCTGTCGATATATTTATACACTAGATGTTTCAAAAACTAGTGCCCTCAAAGATTCTACAGTTAATAATGACAAAAATATAAGAAGTTTTGCAACGGATAAAAAGAAGCAAATACGAAATAACAGAATGTTTTTCCCTGGGGTGAACAACAATTTGGTAATAACAACTATGAGAATTTGAAGACTGGTTCCTATGTAACCAGGTGTGGGGATAAAAAACACTCAAATTATCATTTTTTTTTTTGTACTTATTATTGAACTATCTATTTTTTTACTAATCTCGATTATATAAATGCATATTTTTCATGATATGGGGCAATTGATACAAAACCTTTATTTCTGAAATAAGACTTTATCTAAAGAGAAAGTTATATTGCAAAAGTGAAGTTGAAACAATTCCCAGAGTTTTTATCGGTAATATTCTACTAAGACTACACATTACAGTACTATGAAAGTAGAGTATTACATTTGCTCCTAAGAAAAATATGATGATCTGCTATAAAACAGCAAAGCAATACAACTAAAAAGCTGCAAATTGTCATGGATAAATGTGTCTAACGAAAACCAAAGAATACMRYAATATYAACATGGCGTATTTTAATGAATCATGRATARCTATCGTCTAAACAATCACCTTGTGCAATAGTTGTCAAGGAACACTGAATGTCAACAAAAAAACCTATCGAAAATGAAATCAAGCCAAAACCGAATTGTTGAAAATATTGTAATTTTTGTTGATTATTTTTTTTCCTTTTCTGTTTTTAATAAGTTGAAGGTTTAGTAGACAAAACTGTAAGGYTTAAAACTAAAGCTCAAGAAGTCAAATAATAATATTGTACATGWATTACTAAATTTAACATTTGAAAGATTTAGTTTTTGGAGAACTAGACAGGTTGTAACCAGATCAAAATACTTTTAAAAACTGGAGATTTTATAAGGTCGAATCTTGTAATATTCTAAGTGATTCGAAAGCCGCAAACACTTGATGTTTTTTATTTACCGGCACCTTAAGCGACATGGAARAAATATTTCTTTACAGACAGGCGTACAAAAAGGAGMTTTCTAATTAAGTACGATCATTCGTTCTAGAATCCCGAAAAACGAGGTTCCTTATTGCCAAATCGAATGGATGATCAATATTTTTGCAAGCGTTTTATTATTCACGATATAGACTGTTTTCTAGATGACAATGGCTGTCATATGCTCGAAAAAGAATATTGTTTCATGGAAATGAAAAAAATAAGATGAGAATCCGGAAGAAAATATTTAAAATCAGATCTGATCAAACGCATTTYAAGAAAGGAAAGAAATCATTTGGCTCGATGAAAAAAAATATATATACATTCTTCAGACAAAAGATATTGCGATCTTGATTTATAAAATTTCAGCGTGGAGCGATAGCTACAGCGRAGGGACGACAACGGAATAAAAACTTTAAGGTTTCAAGGTTCTACGCTCGAACMGTCATAGTGTCTCATCTCCACGAAAATGGATTTATAAGCCGGTCTAGTTTCATTGTAGGCTTTGCTCAAGATCAATACTAACCTTAAAATCCTTTGAAGAGATGAAATAACAATTACATGTCGAGTTTTGAAGCGTACTAGCTTRCTAAATTCATTCTATAMWGCATCCCTGTAGTTGAACATGTAGTTCAAGCGACGATGACGTCTTTTGAGAGTATATCGATTTCGCTCTAAAAATATGTGCGTTCAAAACAACTAACCATCATCAGTTATGCATGCAAATCAACTTAAAAGATTCGAGATTAATATGTGACGATGCGATTTGCATATTTGCCAAAGTAATATAATATCGATTAGATTCCCGGTTATATAAAAGGCTTAAAAGGCAATTTAACGAGCTGGGAGAAAAAATACTTTAAACGAATGGGAAACAGTCGTGGGCGAACCAGACTACTCCTGACAGTTTGAAAAATAATGTCAAAATACAACAAGTGTGAAAACCGGCTTGAATAGACAGCGGTGGAAGCCGCAAAGGATGAGGGTATATCGATGGAGTAAGGTGGCCATACCTCGTTRGTTTTCGGCAGTCCAAAGCATACAAACCATCGGAAATACTGCCATACTAGAGCCATAGCAGAAGAACAATAGAAACCATTGAACTAGACGTGTATGTACCACCTGGTACAGAGACCTGCATCTTTGCTTGAAACATACTGGTCGTTTATTACAAAACATGATGGTGATTAAATGATTATAATAATATATCGAAATAATAATCTGGACTATATACTTCTTATATGCGAATAGTAGTGAATACATTCTTCAAGACGTTCTTATAGAACCTCTTTATATGGAAATCCAAACTTTTAAGATAAACTTGACACACTTCCAAAGTTGAATCACGCAATATTTCGTTTTTAACGCAGGTTTACACCTAGCAATATAGTTTAATCCTTATTTAAGAGATGTTGACACTACCAATYAAGGGAATTTTCTTAAATAAATACTCGTTCTTTGTATACAACTTTGTTGCCTGATGTTGAGGAGACTCGAGGGGCGGGCTTTTCAAAGCTCTGGAAAAACCTACGGATTACAACTAATCGCTCTGTGAACAACAAGGGCCAGAGAATTTCTTTCAAGTTGCCGTAACATAAATACTAAGGCTAGAATAATCATTTATTTTGCACGAGTATGATAACTATCTGACCATAATATTAACATTGGAGCTTCTTTTATTAGTCAGACCATAAAAAATTCAATTTAGCATTAAAAAAAAATGATAATTCTCCAATGAAAAACGAATGARAATTCTTTGAAATTSCRAAGTCATTTCAATATACKTGTTTTCTTTGCGGACAGATGAAAATTGAATTGTCAAAAATGACATAAACTTGAAAAATTATTTGGCATTGGAATGACAAACTATGTACTTTTCGACGTAAAACTTAGAAGTGYATGCAACCTCTTATCGAATATACAAAAACTATGTATACTTGACTCGATGACGACGAACAAACGAATCACTACTATACAAGTTAACATCACAGTTTGAAGAGAACTTATTCTATTAACTRAAAACAGCATGGAGACCTGAAAACGAAGCCAAATAAAACATATTTCATCAAGGACTGTCAAATTTGAAGTTCAAGGTTCTGCGTCTTCTAAGAAAAAACGTTGCTTCTCGTGCTATTTATGTGACTAGAATATACCTGTTGACTATAATGTATGGTTTTTCATCGTACTACTGGTTAATTTATGGGTTTGTATTGTTTTACATATGTACTAGTAAATACAATGAGGTCAAAAACAATTACATGCATATTATATTGTAATGGAGGCAGACAGCGGAGAAGAAAGAGCTCCTGGGCGGTCACTAAGCAAAAACATCTTTCAAATAATGTTTAAAAAACTAATGGTCTCTTATACCGTTGTAAATAATACATATATAATACTTTTGTACGTCACTTCATTGTCACTTTGGTCCATACAAAGAACAACATAAGCTACACTATATGTACAAGACTTTCTGCCACAGAAGCTTTTAAAACTTCACTAGTTTACAATTCTAACACAAAAAAGAATGGTTTTCACCATACTATAAGTTAAGATCATCCAGTACGCACCTTACTTGCCTTCAATGAAAATCGAAGTTCAGTGCTGTTTTTAGTCTACCATGAACCACTCGAAAGGTCAATCAAACAATAAAAATAATAAAGACGATTCGTTTCATAATGCGAAGCCCTGTAATAACTMGGTTGGCTTGACGCGACTGAGTTATTGCAGTCGTAAGAAAAATGTTTAATTATGGTTTATTCTTTGACAATACGTTATCCTTTCTTCAAAGCTATGTCGACAACCAAACGCTTTTCTAATTACTTATGTACATAAAGACGTTTTTCAATTCAGTGAATCGACTACGCAAAACTTGGTGTCAAAGTTTGACTGACAATGGCATGTCATTGCGTAAAGGTTTTTAGTTTAAGAGCCAAAGGCCTAAAATTAATGAATCATAGTTACTACACTAAACCACACATCTATAACACGGTTGACTTGAGCAAAAGAACACTCATTACACCATAATAATGAAAAGTCTTCGGATGTCTATATTTCTATTGCAATTTTCAAGTGCGGTTTGAAGGAGAAAAAAAGGACACTTCTACACTCTTTTATATAAATCATCATTCATTGTAAAGATAAATGAAAGGGCTTTATAGTCACTAAAGAACTGGTGATAGTTGTTATGTTTTAGGAAAGTTTGTCCGGAAAATATTATCTAGTTTACTGTGAAAATAAACATCAAATRTTGTTGGTTTTTGGTGTCATATTCGCATTTGAGTTYKAGTTTCAACCAGATGTTTCTTTAGCTAGAATTTCTCTCCTTATTGYGAAGAAACATGAGAGTTTGGTCTTACTCATTTAACGCGGATTAAACGGTGGTATAGTCACCTGAACTAATGCCGCATCATCTGCTTTGGTTAGCTTCGATTCTGTTGGCGATGGAGGTTTTGCTGTCTCTGTTTCAGCTGGCTGAGCGCCCTGTTGGGAAAATGTCGATACCATGAGATACAATTYAAAACGAAAGCATCACARAACTTGGTAAAATTGAACTTATAAACAAACATCGGCAAACACGATACCATCGGCATACAATAGACCATTGTACAWGGACAATAACATCTTTAACGSCGTTTGAATCACATTAAATCTTATGAATTGATACGGCGGATAATAAACGAAGCATCCATGTTAGTATCAGTGAAAGTGTTTGACGAAATTGTTCGAATATGAGCTGGATTCATGAACACAATAAAAATAATATAAGAAAAATGATGAAAAACAATTGGTAAACGTTTGAGCAACAACCCTCCCACACAGCATACAGCTTTAGAGTTACACAACGCGACTCGAAAAGATGGAAAACTTTTTTAACGTGTACGATTTATCATTTCCTCACAGTTTGACTCGCCTATCGACCAYGGCTATCTACTATGTACACTAACCAAATAATAAATATCATCTGAATGTTTTGGGCTGATCCAACGTTTAACTGTTTGTCGCATTTGTTTCATAGTTTTGTATATTGTTGGACGGGGTATCCCACACGTTGTATAGAGCTCAAAGTCTCTATGTTCTATCCAACATTATTTCACGGTTCGCTCTTCCAATTTTTTTCCATTTTTTCTTTTAATTAATTTCCCAGTACAAATGTTTACTTGCGAATGTCTTTGCAATACGCTGTATGTGCTAGCATTTAACTGTGAGACTAAAAACCTATTTAGTGTCCTAGTTGCTGATATAGAACAAAACATGACATTCTGGGTGCACTAAAAAACTATCAGCCTCGAAAATCTTTCTCGGTCAGAGAAAAATCACTCGTTGTTGTTACATCGCTTTGTGAATATCAAGTAAGTGCTTTTAGTTGATACGGAATCAAAGCTTCCTCGAATGAGGGAGGGGGAGGGGATGTTCATGCTGTTATAGCTTGGCTTGTGTTTAAACTTTATGYMATATTCTACCTCATTGGGGGCAATCGTGTTGATTGTCAAAAGATTTGTCACAAATTGAATTTGATAAACAAATGTGGGAGCCAAAAACAAAGATACRAGGAAAGATATTCAGAAGCCCAATTGTTAAATACTGAATAGATATCATCACTGATTTCCGATTCTGCATCACCTCATGATATACAGAGGAAAGAATGAGAGAAATTAAAATAATGAAAAATAATAATTAAATGAACGACTTGTTCGAATGAATAAAAAACGCGCATATGGTGGAACGGATAAATTAAAAAGGAAAAAAGAAAGAATTAATGAGACAAATAAATGACGGAAAAAATGAATGAAAGCTAGCGACTATAAACAAGGGTCAGCAAATAACAAAACCTAGATTATTTGGTCATGCAAATAAAGCTCTTTGAATCAGAATAAACAAATGAATGGATGGATGGATGAATAGAATATGAATGAAAGGAAGAATAAAAGCATGAATGCACAAAAAAGTAAACAGGAAAAATGTGCAAKAAAAAATGAGAAGTAAACATCACACAATACCTGTCAGCTAAAGAAAACTATTAACAAGATCACATTACCTTAGCTACAGGACTGAATGTCAAAAGCCTRTCGACTGAAGTAAGGTTGCTTCCAGCTTTATCCTCTTTAATAGATGMGAGTTTTRAAGTCGGTGCTCGCCGATTCGGCGGCGTGTTCATAAGCAAATCATCAACACTGAAAATAATCAACAAAAAAGTAAGCGCCGAAATACACGAGGAACTACATCGAGTTGAAATCTTCAGATGAACAACAGCTCTACAGGAGAGAAAAATCATCAAAAGCGCAAACCAATCAATTAGTGAAAATACATAAAGATYTGAAAAGTCAGATCAGCAAGGTGCCAAAAAAGTGAAGGCTAATTAAAAGCATGAAGCAATGCAATTTTCATTTTGCATCGCGGGAACTGTAAAAAAAAAAACGAAAATTGTCCATGGAAAGTAATTTTCGATGAAAAAATTACATCTAATCTTGATAATATGATGATAAATGTTACCAGTTTTGGAGTCACTTTGTCTGATTTAGCGGACACTTAATATCTTAAGACTCGCGATAAACGCTGTCTCAGTRACGAAAATGATCAATGCACTTAAATGCGATTATGACGTCATGTGCTTATGACGTCAGTACCAAAATGCATTTGCGCGCGCTGTCGTTTGAACGAAAAGAGCAGTTTTTAACGTCGAGTGGCTAGATGAGTGAAGATGCAAATTGACTTACTTTCCTGGGGTTTGTTTTGARAAGTTAGCATCCGCTCCTGCCTTCTGRGAACCTTGAGATAAGAAAAAAAGAAATATAGCTAAGTGAAATGCAAATTTCCACGCGAATTCCAGCCGAGAGAGAAAGAAATCAAGCCGTGAACAATGAGCAAAAGATTAACATTTAAAGAAATGGGTGATTAGATTTTTGGTTTACCTTGTAGGTCGGGTGAGCGGCCTTTGCAGAGAGGATCAAACTTGACATAAAGAGATTGACGTGCCAAGGCGGACTAAATAGAGAGTGAAAGAAAAAATATCGCTTAATTGTGGAAGAAAGAGTGGAAATGAAAGATGAAAGTAGAGATTGAAATAATAAGACGTCAAATTCGATGAAGTGAAGAAAAAAAGGAAAAATGAAGTTATGCAAACATTGAATGAATGGAAAAATGAAGACGAGAAAATGAAACGAAGAGGGCCATAGCCAGCAAGAAATTGACAACGAAAAAGATCAAAATAAAGTTGTAAAAAATGACAGGGAGAAAACGGGAAAACATTACCAAAMATGCAAAAAGATGAAAAAAATGAGGAAATTAATTCGAGAGCAAATTCAAAAATACAAAAGAATAACAATCGAAGAAAAAGCTTACACCAACAAAGACCTAAAATGCCAAAAATACTCAAAACAAGCACGGTAATTACGAATCAAATCATAATATTTTGACAGCGTTTAGCTACTTCCTTGCATTGGAMATTAAAAACATCAAAACACCACGTCAAAAYAACTCAAAATGAAAGAATTCTTCCGTGTTATTTATGATTATTMAAAGAACCTGAATGGACTATGAAGTACAAATAAAAAATACAGTTTGCATGGTGACAGTAAAGAATTGTTAATGATTTAAAAAATCCATAATTCACGAGGACAGGATGTCTGATAAAAAGCTGTTGACAGTCGCTGATTGGCTCAAATCTAAAGCCACACCAAAATACTAAAATAATTGAAGACTTTAAGGTTTGGAATACGAAGGATTTCACTGCCAACGCATCGTTCTTAGGTAATAGTAACCTTGGTACACACAATGACAGACGCTTTTACACAAAATCGCAGGATAACGAAGCGAGAGAGCAAGAATTATTTTCTTGTAAGTATGATCTTTAATTTCACTATGTTGTAGTTATTGTATTTAGTTATTTTATTTTGGATCAATTGTTTTAAAACACGATTCATGGCGACGAAAAGCTAGTCTTTTTCAACATAAGCGGTTTCTYGTACACGGCTAAAAACGTTTTCGTCCACACAATCAATTTGTGGATAATTTAAACCTCTAAAAGAATCGTTTACAGAGCATTTGCGTGTGGCTGGAGCATCATTTCACAAATAACTGTTTTTTCAGCCTTTGAGATGGGCAAGGATCATAATATTCGACCCTTAAATAACAATAAAAAATTTATTTGTACATTAGCACTCTTAATCAATATTTTTGAAGAATATAACATGTAGGCAAAGAAAGTAAAAAAGATTATCATTATAAAATTTGGTTTTAGGAATTTTTGGCCCACAACAAAAACAAGCGAAACGCGAGGTCCCATTCCAACTAATACGAAAATTGCTAAAAAGCCMTAGAACAAATTATTGTTTAAAATAAAATGTTGCGTTATCATAAGGATATCATGATTAATTCAAAACAGGGAGTAAGGGACCTTCAAACTTTCTCTTTGATAACTGGTAGCTCTGACCATGAGACGTCACAGTGATCACATGACAGGTGTATGACGTCACAGTCACATGACTATTCATCGTTAAATCAGTGATTAAGATAAGTGCTATTTACCAGTCTGTCCAGATCATTGGTATTGCCAAACTTTTCCAGGTAGTCCAGCTCAAGTGAGAATGCTAGATGAAAAAAGTAGTTCATATATTTAGTGGTCATGGACACTTGCAGACTAAGTGTTGCAATGTGAAGCATCTTGCTGAATCACACAACATAGCCAGAGTTACATTTATATCTAGTAAATCTTGGAGGAAATGTTTTTCAAAATTCACAACTATAATAAGGAGTGCATACTTACCATTGCCAGACTTAAAGTCATCATTAGTAAACCCTAAGTCTTGTTGCTGATCAGACAGCATTACTCCATCTTCACTACTAGACATTTCTCTGTTGGTAATATCCATATCTTGTTCTGAGGGCTTTGTTTCCATGGAGTTTACTTCMTTACTTTGACTCAAAGGTTTCTGTTCAGCTGGCGATGAAGCAGACTTGTCATTGGTCGATATRCTTTTTGCTGGCTCTGCAAACATTATCGTAAAAGGATCATCGCTTTGTGGGGCCTTCTTCTTCTTTGTCTTCCAGGGTTTTGGAGGCATTGGCTTTTTGAAAGTTTCATTCTCTTCGCCATTGACCTGATCGGCCTCTTTCTTTTTTGCAGTCTTAGGCTGTCGTTTTTTCACTRGAAGATTTTCTCCATCATTTCCATTTTCTGTTACTTGGTCATTCTTATCTTCCTGTGCTTCTACTGTTGGTGGAGACTTTCTCATTCCTCGTGGTTTCACTGGTAAATCAAAATCATCCTCCGTCTTCTCGTCTTGGGGTATGACTGCTGCCAATGGCTGCTTGGCTCCTCTTGGCTTAATTGGTAAATCAAAGTCATCCTCTGTCTTCTCGTCTTGGGGTACGACTGCCGCCAATGGCTGTCCTCTTGGCTTAATAGGCAAATCATCATCTGTCTTATCTTCTTGCGGTACAACTGCCACCATTGGTTGCTTGGCTCCTCGTGGTTTGACTGGCAAATCAAAATCACTATTGTTTTTTGTTTCCTGTGACTGGATAGTAGGTGGAGATTGTTTGGATCCTCTTGGTTTTACCAGCAAATCATTGTCATCATAAATACTATTAGTTTTCGTTGATGTTAGTTTCAGTTCATTAAGTTTAGCAGCAACTTCATCAAGATGTCTTCCAGAAAACTTAGAATCCATGAAAGCATCAATCTTGTTYCCATGGAGAAGCTCTAAAGTTGGGATTTCAATTTCATCAGGAACATCGTGAGGTGCGAGCAGCTTTTCAATGTCATCACTTGTGACCATGTTATCTAAAAAATAAACAACTAATGGTCATTGCAATATATTATACTACATATGCTATTCAACAGCTTAATTTCATCCCTATGGAATAATGTTATAGCATTTCATTTTGCTCTTTTGTAACTAAATTTTCATTTAGGGTGCCATGAACTAATGACAGCAAACCTGCCAAGGGCTTTTAGGATCACCCTCCTTTGAAAATTTCTTACTGATCACTTTGTCATGTTGCCGACATGATTTACTTATGCTCCAAAGTTTTGACATGTCATGATAAAGGAGGCAGCTCACCACAATCAGGAGAAGCTTTTCCACTCCCAATAGGTGAGAAAGCTCTTTCTTCCTCCTCGCCAGCTTTGAGCAGTGAATTCAGTGATGCAATGGCAGGGTCTAGCGGTCCTGCAATGTCCARAGCATCATCCATGATCTTGGATTTGTTTTCAGTAGGAGAAGTTGAATCTTTTTCTTTATAACTTTCAAATATAATATGTTTCTTTGGACTTCTGAAATAACATAATTTATTGATAATAAATGTATAATAAAACARGGGATATTCAAATTGATTTGGAAGTTTTCTTGTTATCCCTATTCAGCCTTTGTACATTCAACAGTGTCAAATACAAATGCTACATCATGGTGGCCAGTTTCACCAATTGATACAAAAGTTTADCAGATATAAATAAGTTATTAGGAAAAATAATAACTATTTTCACATACCTGAAGCAAGACAAATTGTCAATAATGTTATCCAGAAATTCCTGTCAATATTAAGTAAAAACAAAAATTRTCTGAGAGTGTTTAATTGTAGCTCATGAAAACTACAGAATTAATGAACTAGAGCCTCTTCTTGCAAACACCACTACAGGCACCACTATATATTACAACAATAACTTGTAGAGACAATTTTCTGTCCTCTAGTAAAGTAGGAGGAAGATGGAGGAAGCTGATTGAAGCAATCAGAACAGAAATTTCACAAGTTGTTATTCTACTTATTTTTTAGATTTTCACATATGTGAAATTACATATAATTTCTCCTTCTCCTTCTCCACTCACTTTATACTGACCTAATTTTTATCAAARACAAATACATTTTGCAGACAGACAAAAAAATATAAAAATAAACATTATTCATAATGTATCAATAATGATCTTCTTACTTTTGCAGAATCTAAATGCAGTTGATGGTCTTCCTTAGTGACAACCTGTGTTCTCTCTGTCCAGTTTTCGACCTCGTCAAGACAACGTATTTCGTCCCACGTGTCTAACAGCTTAATAGGTTGCTCTACCTTATAACGTGTGGGGCAATGYCGGACTGGGGTGTTCTTGAAGGTTACCTGGGACAGTTTAGACATAAAGTTAGTTTTCTTTTGTTTTAAGCTTCGAAAGCTTGTTTTGGTTGTGCAGGGGTATGGATAAAGTTATATAAAATTACCATACATAGATTTTAGTGCATATTATTGAAGAATAGGCCCATGTTACACTCTATGTCTAGGACTAGTTGTACGAAGGGATAAAGTTATTATCTGGTGAATAAGGATTTATCCAGTGTGACAGAGCTATCTTCCCTCCATACAACCAGTCCCTGGTTACTAGTAGATAGGACCGGAGTGAAACAGTGGATATACAACTTATATCAATAACAAAAGAGTTAAATAGCAAGTTTTAACTGATTGATTTTTGTCTTTACTATTCTGTTTTTAGTTTTGTGACTGTGACAGTGCTATGAGCATTCATGTCTGAGACTGTAAGTTCATTTATAAATGTCATAACAGAATAAAAAAAATGTACTAATGTGACTAATGTACAACTTACTAGGAAAACACCGAGCCTATAATAACAAAATTGTAAACACTGCTCATTCTTATAAGAACGTAATAGAATTATCAAGTTTCAGTCGTGAGAAAAAATGTTCTGTGTGGTTCAAGAACTTCAAAGGTCATATGATATTCATTTTTGGTTCACCTTCCGTTTGTTTGATGTCTGAAAGACACAAACAAGACACCAAAACGCCTTAAACAAAACCATGTTTTTTCATATATAAATAGTGATCAAAATCGATCCTTTTATAAATTTTACAATATAACGATTCAGTTCAAGATGAATAAACAACATAGAAAGSGAAATTGATAGCAGCTTTTAATAAATATGAAAATTTCAAATGATATTCTTAGAAATATTACAATGTTAGAGGAGTAGTATGTTTGGAAACGATCACTGTAAAATTTAGTCTAAAATTAGAATAATCATTTTATAACGTCTGGAATATTTACATCACGTAGCAAGGAACAAAACTAATTTAAGCGATGACGTGCGAYTCGTAATACTATTTTCCTCGTGTTGCCTAGAAGATGTTTTTGAGCGTTTACCACTTAAAATGCAGGGTAGAATATCCATAAGCTTGTTAGGAAAGCTAAAATAGTAAGCTAAATATAGTATAAGATTTTACAGTTGACTTCAGTCAGCCAACTGGTCCACGAAGTTAACGAGTTAATGCAATCAACAAGTGAGAATTTGCAAATCAGTCGCTTGCAGCGTCGCTTTTCTGTATCACAAGGCTCCAATACAGAGCAACTGAGTCAAATACCAAAAGTAACAGCTTGACTTACTTTTGGCGGTTTCTTGGCAGTCAACTGCCGCACGTTCTCTTTTTGCGAAGGCTTCAAAATAGAACTCGTAGRGAAGACTTCTTCTTCTTTTGCAACCTCATTGGTACTGYTAAAGTTTTCTTTTTCATCCAGGAGGCTTCCTGACATCCTAGAATATCAACTGATGGTTAGAAATACCACACTGGATTTTACTAATACGTATTCAAATTATTGTTCTCAATAAAATTCAAAATTTGTACCATTTCAATGACCGTTAAAAAGCCATGTCTGCTAATCAGAGCCCGCGATAGATAGAGCCGCTGACATAAGAGCATGCGTCTATTCTTTCTGATTACCCAGAAGTCCCCGCGCTTTAACGAGATAATAGTAAACATGTTGTATAAATTTTGCATAAATGTTGTTTTGGATATAAAATAAAAACAAACATTTTTGGACAAATTAAATATGCATTATCCTTGAAAAGAATATTTTATATGAAAGATACTACAACAATTATCTGCGAAACGGTCCGACATAGGTAGCCCAAACGATACCACAAACGACCCGGCCCGGGCCGGGCGACTGGGAAAAACTCAATTTGCGATGTCTTTAGGAATTGAAAAATTTATAARTAAAACTAAATCAGTTATGGCTTGCGCTCCTTTCATAAGGCAACATAGTTTGATCTCAGCATTTTCTTTAGTGATGAAAACATTGCTAAGCTTTATTGTAGAGCTTGGGCTGCCTGTGTAAATAGAGTGAATCTGACATTGATAGGAATTGCACTTTCATTAAGCACAAAATGTTTTTTTTCCTACCTCACCGTCGATAAGATCAGTGTGTTTCACTCCTTTTATGTCAATTCTTATATGTTGTCTTTATTTTATCTTTTGGACTTCATGGCTAAGAAATTATATGACGCAAAACAGCGGAAGCCCTTCAAAACACTTTAACCGTTGTTTCAATAACACTTCTCAAGGATGCAACCAACCGACTAGACTTACCGCCACATTGCATGGAACTGAATATCGATGACAAACTTCTTGACTCCAAACATCAACAGAAATATAACGCAGATGAAARATAGCAGCAAAATCGTGGCGTCCATTCACTCGACATACAATTTACCACTTTACCACTTCTCTTCCTTACATATCTGATTCACCCCTTTATGAATACGTGTGGCAAACAACCGGTACTCTATGAGGAGAATATACCTTCGTGAAACGGAACACGAGTAAGAGTGACTACAAAACTGTGAACAGCATCGATATATTCCATTTCATTGCCGGACTTACATTATGCGTTTATTTAAAGCATGTGAACAAAGCACGCAGCGCAATSCCCACTTGGGAATAAAGAGCAATTGTTTCCATTACAATGAATGGACAAGGGCGTAGAAAGCTTGGTGTTTCCAGGGGTTCCGGAACCCCCTTTTCTTGTTAGACGGAATATTTGATGAGACTTAATTTGACACTAAAATCAATAGATAAGATATTTTTGGATAGGGTGCATATTTCCGTTTTGTTTTTCGAAATGATATAAGTGACTTGTAGTTATGTGTTGCAATGTCCCAAGTAAAATGTCTAGGATTGTAGATGGGAAATTGGCCAAGTGCATGTCTTTTAACTCGGGAAATTGTGCATACGATTAGGGGAATGCGTGAGAGAATGCACGCTGCTTGGTTCTACAAAAAATGCGCAATTCAACAACGTTTCCCGTAYGCCCGGTACCATTGCTAATCCACCAAAAAATGACTTTAATGATATTTTCGAGTAATTGTATATACTTAAAAATGCTTATGGGAGCGAGCAATTTTGAATTTACTCGCTTTAAGGTTGTTTTTGACATAAAGACCACACACTTCGAAACAGACGTTACCAATGTGGGATGTCTTCTTTTTTGACATACACATACACCATTAAAAGAATAATATGCCAATTGAGTCAAAAAGTGACAATGTCAAGTTCTCATTTTTATACCAAACGGTAATCGAAGCAGTCAGTTGAAACATCAACCTTCGAACTCAAAGGTTGGAAGACTTAAAAGCAAGAAAAATTCGTATTTCAAATCTAGACGATTTTGCTCGACGCAAATTTTGTCCCACTTTTCAGTGGTAACTCGTATGTTCATTTATAAGAATACGCAATTAATCTTACTAAACAACACAGCATGGACTATGATTTTGGTCGTSCAATAGTAATAATATTGCTATATATACCACAATTATTGGCTCAAGGTAAGAAAAATATCACTTATATCAGCCGTCAGGCAAAGTACTCGAATCCTCTAAGATTGAGAATTCATATTGTACAGATTAATTGAAAGTTTACTTTCCATTCATATTG